CAGGCAGTAATGCAGTACGTTCAGTTCACGTTCGCCCAAAATATGAACGAGTTAATGAACTTTCGTTCAATGAACGCGTTCAGGCACAACACTGCCAATAAGCGACCAATAAGCAACTGCCTGCACAAAGCAAAGCCTACATCCTCCACTGTTCCTCCTGTCTTGGTCTGCTCTGACTTCCTCAGAGCTTAAGGAGAGCATGCGCGGCATTATTATTAAACTCGCAGGAGCAAAACATGTGGTAATGAATCCTTAATTTAATCTGACATAATTAAAACTCATCATCAGCATCAATCACAAATTTCTGTGCGAACATTATCTTTTCGTTGAGGGTTTATATAATAGGGATAATTGGGATCATACAATATTGGTTTGTTCTATAGGACAGTATGAGGAGAAAGGGATGGAAGAGGAGAAGAAGCAGGAATATTAAGCAGAAAAAACAAAACAGAGCCAGGCTGAGGTTCAGTGTGCAGGGGTGGATTGGAAAAGGCATCTTTGCATGGAATCATATTAATCTCATCCCATCTCAGGATTCTAGTCCAACTGATACTGTAAGCCGTGAAAAAAAATTGAATAGGCTAGTTTTTATTTCTATTATAAAATAAATACACACGTGTAGTTTTAAATGTTGAAAAACAGCTTTTTTTTTTATACACCAAATAAAGGGTTCTTATTAATACCCTACCACTTGCATTTGCCCATATTACACTGAGTTCTAAAACAAAAATAAACAAAAGTATATTATCTGAGGCTATGGGATCACACAGATGAATTTATCTATGGTTAAGTATTACGTGGGCTCTAAAACACTATATTAAACTTTTCAAATGGATTATTATAGTGTAAATCTATCCCCCTTTTGTTAGTTAGCATTACATGTAAAGAAGTTAATTATTTTTTCCTTGCCAACTAATCATGCAATTCAGTTTGCCTCCTTTTTAGCTTGTTTGCTCATGTCCACAACCACAGGTCAGCAGTTTGTGAGGACAGCTTTATCAATAGCATTTCTCTGAAAATGGCCAGGAAATTTTCACATTGCATAACAAAAAAAAAAAAAAAAAAGCATTTTGTCCCAACGTCGGTGATGCTCCAGGGTTCCTAAAACATAACGCAAGTAAAATTTAAGACTTCTTAAGACCTCTTTTTGCCCCTTGAAATAAAACTTTAAGACCAACTTTACAATAAACACAAGAAAACCTGGTTGCATCAAATTTAACCTGATGCTTATTTTAACGAAAACCATCACTTTCTCGCCCAGTAGAAATGTTTACAATTTTGAAAAACTTTCCATATAGGAAGAAAACTTAAAACACACTAATAACAGATATATTTTTAACAACTGATGAATGACATTCACAAACTTTGTTTTGATCCCTACTCAGAGTCCATAATAGCTCTGCTTTCATTGTTGGCGAACCGCCCAAACATTATCCGGAGATTTGGTGCTACTGGTGCTTTTTTTTTTTTTACCTAAGAGAGCAGAGGTCACAGATTAGCGGACACCGGTGCGGATCCAGACCCACCTGATGATTAATCCGGACCTAAACTGATTTTAAGCATTAAATTACAGCATGTTGTCAGACAACTGTCTACCGTACAAACAAGAGAAGCGCGCTACTCCTGTTTTTACGGTAAATCCCTCCAAAGTTCTGGGAACAGGCTACACGTGATACAAATTAGTCAATGGGCTGTGTCAATCAGGGCAGCTGCTGCTAGCTATTTTTAGACACAGCAGGCA